TCCATTTAGTTTTAACTGATCCATGTCTTTGTCTTTAGTGCAGATCTCTTGTAGACAGCACATAAATATTGCTTTTGTATATATTGTGATAGTCTCTTTTACTGGACTATATAGTTCATTGGCATTTGATAATTAATATGATTGGATTTAGGTCTATCATTTTATTGTTTTTGTTTATTCCCTCTAGTTTGTTTTTATTATTTTTATTTTTTGCTTATTTGTTTTGTTCCCCCTTTGATGATTTCAATATTTAGAATTTCATTTTACTGTATCAGCTGGCATTTTGCTCTCTTTTCTCCAGTATATTAGTGGTTGCTCTGGGTATCACAATATATACATCATTAACTGTTCACAATCCACTCAGAGGTAATACTGTACTACTTCATGTGGAATGTAGAAATCTTGCGATGATATAGGTCCATTTCCCCCTCCCCCTTCTGTTATTATTATAGGTATTCCATCTGCACACATTACAAACCCAAATACACTCATTGCAATTTTTGCTTTAATAGTCTATAGTATATACAATATGTGTATGTAACATATATAATGTATAATCTAATGGTATTTTAGAGAAATTAAGAGAAAATCGTCTTTTATGTTTACTCATATAGTATCTATTTCTGATGTTCTTCATTCCTGAAAATCTGTCTCTGGTATCATCTCCCTTCAGCCTGGAGACCTTTATTTAGCATTTTGTGTAATGCAGCTCATATAGGGACAAACTCACTTAGTTTTCCTTTTTCCGACAGTAAGCTCTTTATTTGACTTTCATTATTGAATTATAGAGTGTTCTGGGATGACAGTTTCTTTTAGCGCTGTCTTCTGGCTTCCATCGTTTTTGATGAGATATCCATGGTAATTCAAATTATTGTTTCCCTATATGTAACAGGACTGCTTTCAAGATTTTTTCCTTATTGGTGGTTTTCACTAGTTTGACTAGGATATACCAATGTGTATTTCTCTCTGAATTTATTGTTTGGGATTTGCTGAGATTCTTGAACTTGTAAATTTATGTCTTTCACCAAATTTTGGAAATTTTGAGCCATTACTTCTTTGAGTATTTTTCCTGCTCTAGTTTCTTTATCCTTCCTTCTGTGATTCCAGTTAGGCATTAGAAATTGTACCATAGTTCCAGGAAGCTCCATTTATCTTCAATCTTTATCTTATTCTTATTGAATGATTTGTTAATGTGTCTTCAAGTTCACTGACTGCATCATCTCCATTCTTTTCTTCAGTCTAGTGATTTTCTATTTCTTTGATTTTTTTTATTACATCAATTAGAAACATATTTTCTTCGACCTCATTGTGCTCAATAGTTATAATAGCTGTTTTAAAATCCTTGTCTGAAAATTTCAACACATAAGTCATCTCTGGACTGGCATCTATTGGTTCTCCTTTTTCCTGGGAATGGTCACATTTTCCTGACTCTTCGCATGCCGAGTAATTTTGGATTATAACCCGGACTTTGTAAAGGTTTTGTTGTGGAGACTTTGGATTCTGTTTTATTATTGTTCTGAGCAGCACTAAGGTTTTTGTTTTAGGTAATGAATTTGGTTAGACCCAACTCTACCCTGCCATGCTGTGATGGCTCATATCTCAGTTCAGTTCTTTAAGCCTTGGCTGTAAACATCTTTGAGTTTGCCCCATACACGCATGGTTGAGGGGTTTGCCGGAGACCTGAGCTGAGTCTATACACAGAATTTAGAGTTTCTGCCTTCATGGACTCTCCTTTTGGTTTCCCCTTTACTCTTGGCAGTCCTGGTTACGCTCCTGGACAGTACTGCTCCTGGGCAAAGCTGCAAACAAAAACAAACAAATGAGTCACAGAGAACCCGTTCTAAGCCTATCACTCCCCTCTATAGCCCGCCTGTCTTTGGTCTCCAAAGACCTTAATAGATGCTTTTTTGTCTTCTGTCCAGAGTTGATTGATAGCTAATTTTTGCAGGACCAACCATTGGTTGAGTGCTCGCTGCTCAGTGTTATAAATGCAGCTCTCATTCTCTGAACTAGGAAATTACAGTGGCCTCCTTGACTAATCTTCCTACCTACAGTTTTATTTCCTTCCAGGACAACTTTCACTTGGAGGGCCAGTGGTTGAAATAAAATCTAGGGCTGACTCTGGGCTTATAGAATTGGGTATAAAGTCCTTGTAAAGGTGCATGTAGCCCTTCACAAGCAACTCTTGTTACTTGCATACTTCACTAAGGTGCTTGTTCTTAACCTGGTATGTTCCCCAATTCTGGACCACTCATCCCTCTGTATCTCTTACTCTCTTTCCCTTGTATAACTCCAGGAAATCTTCATGGACAGTTCAATCCTTTTCCACATCTTGCACTCAACATATTCTCCAAGTCCCCCCTTATAGTCTGTGGATCCCTCTGGCATTGGACTGATTTTGTTCTGTTATTTTCTCTTTGGTAGTCCGTATCCTCATAAGACTGAAATCAAGGGTTGCAACTCCTGCCCTATTTCTTTAACTGCTAACTAGCTCCCCTAACTTTACACACGACATGATACATAGTAGATAACTCATATATATATATATATATATATTTGGCATTAAATTTTAAGAGTACAGGGTTTTCATATCAGCCTTCAGCAGGTATCTGATGTGCACACAGAGTCCTTCTGAAATAGAACAAAGGATTTGTGTCTACCAGTCTGCTATGCACTGTATTCAATGTACCAATAAGGGTACTAACCTTGTCTTTTATGCCTCCTAACTATGGGTAGTCAACTCAGAATTATGTGAAATCGTCATTATTACTCTATTCTGAGAAAAGAGACAAGGGATTTCTGGAGCTTGTTAATGGGCAAGCCTCTTCTGCCTTGGTCTTTCCTAATGAATGGGAGAGTCCAAATATTGCTGGGGAAGCCGTGTGTGTGTGTGTGTGTAGATGTTGTACCTCAGGCAGTAAGCCAGCAGCAACATTTTTCTATCCTGAGCATTAAGTGATAGGTTTGGAGCCCATCCAGCTGTCGTGGCTTGTCAGCTGCTAGCAAATCTGGAATGCATTCTCCCCCTGTACACCATTTCCCACTTTTGTGCAAGGATCCATAGACTAGCAGAGCATGGGTTTGTACCGGAGCTGCTGCTTTGCTCCTCGGAATGAGCCATGTGGAGCAGAAGCTCCTGAGCTGTACCCCACTTTCTTTTGAAACAAATGAGCTTCTTTTTCAAAGGACTTTTCAACTTGCATGTGTTAATCTAGTGTCTTACAGTAGTGCTTTAGCTTCAGGTCCAATTTAAAACAAAAAAAGACAAAAAAAATTTTTTTCTAATTATGCAAATAACATGCTACTTGTAAAAGTATTTATACATTTATTTATTCCATAAATATTTATTTTGTATTTCTGACATGCCATGTTCTGAGGATATAGATAAGTAGATACGGTATTGCCTAGTGAAAATTTAGTCTAACAGTTGTTGGCAAGGATGTGGAGAAAGGGGAATGCAAACTCATGCAGCCACTGTGGAAAACGGTGTGGAAGGTCCTCAAAAAATTAAAAAATAGGACTACCCTACCATCCAGCAATTGCATTATTAGGTATTTTCCCAAAGAATACAAAAATACTAATTCAAGGGATACATGCACCCCTATGTTTACTGCAGCATTATCTACAACAGCCAACTTATGGAAGCAGCCCAAGTGTCCATTGATAAATGGATAAAGATGTGGTCTGTGTATACTTATATATATGTGTGTGTTATATATAAATGTGTGTATATACATATAAGTATTTTATATAAATGTGTGTGCATATTATACACACACTCACATGCACAATGGAATAGTATTCAGCCATAAAAAGAGTGACATCTTGCCATTTGCAACAACATGGATGGACCTAGAGAGTCTAACGCTAAGTGAAATACGTCAGAGAGACAAATACCATATGATTTCACTTATATTTGGATTTTAAGAAACAACACAAATGAACAAAGGAAAAGAGAGAGAGAAACCAAAAAACAAACTTAACTGTAGAGAACTGATGGTTACTAGAGATGAGGTGGCTGGGAGAATGGTTGCATAAGGTGATGGGGATGAAAAACTATGCTTCTCATGATGAAAAAAAAAATAATGAAAAAGAATTAAACTAGTAATGTACAAAAAAAAAAAAAAGGAAAATTTAGCATTACGGAGAAATATACAGAAGAACTTAAAAAAAAAAACTGAAAGCTCTCAGTGCACAGAGATAATCGTGTTAACCCCGTTCTGGAATTTGCATGTTTGCACTTTAGGTGTCAGGCACCATCACTTCTGTTTTCATTCCAATATCCTCAACCCTCCTGCTCCTTTGTCCTTCATTTCCCCCATGGGGCAAATTTCCAATTCCTGAGCATCTAATCATCAACCTAGGTAATGTCTGGCTCTGGCCTGAAGAAAAACTATTTAGAATGCTAATTTTAATCCCAAGGAGCTTGTTCTACTTTATATGTTTGAGATTCTGAATTTTCCAAACCTAAGAAATACTAATTATTAAGTTATGGAGGTATTTCCCACTAAATTAAATTAATAGACTTACTCATTTTATAGTTTAATAAGGGAGTATTAAAACATGAGCTGTACCTTATTTATAATTGCAAGGAAAGTGGTAAATATCTAAGTGCCATCAATAAGAGACTAGTTAAATAAATAATGTACATCCATACAATGGAATGCTCTTCTGAACCCATTAAAATATCTTGCTGACATAAAAAGAAAACTAATAAACATGGCAAGATAGTCACAACAAATTGCTGAGTGAAAAAGACCTCAAATTTAGCACAGAATAGGGTATTTCGTTTGTTTCCATTTATGCAGAATTGGATCCATATGTATGTACATGCACAGAAAACTATCCGTAAGGATGTGTTTCTTTAATTCCTACTGTGTAAGAGGTGCTCGAAAAATACATTATGACATGTCCATGTCACGGGGGAAATCGGGTAATACGTGGCATGTTTGTGGGGGACAGATTTGCTTTACTAAAAGTACTTTTTTCCTCCTCTCTAGAATAATGAACTACAAAGCAGGTTGGACTATTTAACAGAAACCCAGCCCAAGCCTGAGGTGGAAACCAGAGAGATTGGAGTAGGCTGTGATCTTCTACCCAGGTATTTAGGAATTTCCTATTTTTCTGACTCAGATTCCTCTTTGACTTAGGAAAGTACTTTATGGGGCTGTTATTACCAGAATTGCATTCTTTCTATCAAAAATATTTCTGCAACAGTAAATGATCGCTGCTGAGAAGTCTGGCTGGTTTCTGAGGGAGCAGGGGCATTGTGCAGGGCAGAGGGGATAGTGAAGAGAGGCCTGGAGAAGCCACGTCAGAGAAAGATTGGCCCTGTCCTAAGTGCACGCATTTGTTTCTCTATCCATTCATTCATTCACTCAGCAAACATCAGTTGAGTACCTTCTTTGTGCCAGAGGCATAGGGAGAGGAATGAGATTTGGTTCCTGCCCCACATGCGGTCTGGGGAGACAGATATGGGGGCAGACACTTACGACAGTGCCAGAGGGGCCTGCGAGGGGCTTTGGTAACACAGAGGAGAAGTTCTAAGTCGAACAAATGCACCTGTTCCCCAGGGCCGTAACACTGTATTGTCAAGCACTGGCGCAAATAAACGGATCTGTTTCAGTCATGACAGACAAACAAGAACGACCGCCTTGTTTGTTAAGTTGCACTTCTGAGCTCGAGGACTGACCTGTTTGTTCTTAAGCTGCTCCACACACCCATGCCTGGGTCTCTCCCTAGTAAGAGGAGAGTCTGTGACCTAGTAACTAACCCACCATCTCTAGGAGCTCAAAGCTGTGCTTGGCCCAAAGAGGAGATAAAACAAGTTTATAAGCATGTGGCTTGTGACTTAGGTAGCCAAAATCACAAAGTACCTCATATACTGTTTGTGGGAGGGTGTATTTGTGTGTGTTGCATTAGACATTAGCAAGCCAGAAGAATGCAGAATCCTGGAACCTTGAATGGTTACATCTGGTGGGAAACGGCCGTGAGCCGATCGCCAAGCTGGGATGTAGAATACCTGGGTGTAGTCCCCCTAGCTAGTGGCGGGATACATTCAGGCTGGACTCTCTTTGCTGGGGCCTCAGTTTCCCATTCAGTAAAGTCAGTGGTTTGAGTAGGTGATTGCTCAGATTTAACCAGCACAAGCAGGGAGAAGGGTATGTAAGTAGACTCGAGGTCTCATCAATGTGGGGGACAAAGTACCGGATAAAAATAAAGCCAAAAAGAATGATCATGTCCAGGGCCTCCTTGTGAAATATAAAGTTTGATCATTTCTGTCCTTTTTTTGTTTTTCAAGAATCAAGTGGTTTAGTCCACTTTAATTGCCCACATAATAAATCTTGTTTGGCTAAGACGTGTATAAAACTATGTCTGAAACCAATAAATTGTTTGTTTTCCAATTCCCACATTTTGGCTTAAAACAAGGTTTTCAATTTGTATGCCGAAGGATAGCCTGCAGCAAACTTTTATGGCTAAGTTATGAAACCACAAAGCGGTTTTCATAATGGAAGTGCTGACAGACCCTTAACTTATGGCCATGGTGGACTTGGAAGCCACTTCAGTATCTAAAAGCAGATTTTCCATAAACGGAACATTTGGTTTCCCCCAGGATCCATCTTAGCACTTTAACTGCGTAGGTCAATCAGCAGAGGAAATGAAAACTACGTATCCGCATTTCCGGAAAGGCAGGGTAAGATTTCATTCGCTTCCTCACAGATATTTATTAAGTGCCTACTATGTGAAAGGTGCCACGCGGGCCTGAGTGGTGAGGAGCTCGGGGTCTTTAGAGAGAATTCAGAGTAGCAGTTTCCCACCTGTGCTTGGTGCTGCTGGGCTCTGTGCTGGGGCTCAGGGTCAGGCCTCCGGATGCCTCAGGGGGTGAGAAGGTGAGCAAGGAGCTGGCCTGTGGGGACCCTCCCCCTCCTGGAAAACAAAACCAAACCAAACCTGAGAAACTCAGCTTTTAGTATGTTTTGTGTGTTGTATTCCAAGTGAGATTTTGTTTGAATAAAGAGTTCTATGGTCAAAAACAAATTAGAACCCCCTGGTCTAGTTTATTATTTTTTTTAATGTCTATTTTTGAGGGGAGGGGGTAAGGCCAGTGAGAGAGGGGGACAGGGGATCCGAAGCAGGCTCTGTGCTGACAGTGGAGAGCCCAACTCGGGGCTGGAACTCGAACCGTGAGATCATGACCTGAGCCAAAGCCAAAGCCGGATACTTAAGCAACATAGCCCCCCAGGAGCTCCTCCAACCCCCACCCCAAGTCTAGTTTAATTCCCATGTTTGAAAAATACCAAAATCAAGGCCCAGAGAGAAGTGATTTACTGAAACCACACAGCCAGGATTAAAACCAGGTCTTCAAAGTCCTGGTGTGGTACACGTGTGATTTAAAAAAGAATAAATAGAGGGCTCCTGGATGGCTCAGTCAGTTAAATGTCCAACTCTTGGTTTTGGCTCAGGGCATGATCTCACGGGTTCCTGAGATCAAGCCCCACATCTGGCTCTGGGCTGACAGTGAGGAACCTGCTTGGGATTCTTTCTCTCCCTCTCTCTGTGCCCCTCCCGGCTCTGCTTTCTCGTTCTCTCTCTCAAAATAAATGAACATTCAAAAAATAACAATAAACAGAGTTGCTGAATTGTGTCGTATACGTTTTAACAAAATTCCTGGTTCTTACTTGGACTTTAAACTTGCATCTAATACAAGAGCCCATGGTGTTTTCCAGAATATTTTAAAAACAACTTCCTCCAAAAGGTGCCTGGCTGGCCCAGTCGGTAGAGCACGTAACTCTTGATGTTGAGGTTGTGAGCTTGAGCCCCATGTTGGGTGTAGAGATTATTTAAAAAAAAAAAATCTTAGCCCAGCCTCCTCCAAAACGTTTTAGATCAATAGAAGTATTGAATTAAGCCTCAATTATGCAGATGAGTTTTGTTCTCACTCAAGTTCTCTCAAAAAGAACCTGACAGGGGTGCCTGGGTGGTTCAGTCGGTTAAGAGTCCAACATCGGCTCAGGTCATGATCTCATGGCTCATGAGTTCAAACCTTGAGTCGGGCTCCGTGCTCACACCTTGGAGCCAGGAGCCTGGTTCGGATTCTGTGTCTCCCTCTCTCAAAAAACAAAACATTAAAAAAAAGAAAAAAGAAAAGAAGAAAGAAAGAACCTGACAGTGTGGCGAGCCTCAGGCTGTGGGGCTTCCCTGCCCAGCCCGCTGCTGAGCACAGCCTTGGGCAAGGTACTTAATCTCTCCTAAGCCTCAGAGATTTCATCCTTAAAACGGAAGTGAAGAGGACAACATCAAATCTCACAGGGTTTCTATGAGGATGAAATGAAACCATGTATATAAAGCATTTAGCACGGTAACTAGTTAAGCACTTAATAAATAATAGTTATGATTACTGTTAACTAAACCAAAACTCTGGTTATTAGGTAAGACGCTGTATCAAATACAAGTGAATTTGGGTATGCTATGATAATTTCATTAACTTAATTTTTACTGATGGTTATTAGTAATTTTGTGAGGTGGATTGATTGTGAAAGGGATTCAAGTCTATCATGCTCCAGTATGCATTAAGCTCTCCAATTAAACTATCAGTGGTTTGGAACCCTCTAGACATTGCTTAAAAAAAAAATCTCTGGAAGGCCCAGTGATGGATGAGGTCTCTTCCAACTGAGACGTCAGAAGTAAAACATAAGTCCCAGGGTGTTCCAGGCACCAGGCACGAAGCCCCACAGTAGAGCAGGCCACCCAGGACTCATTTCTGCCTGTACCTGCAAAGCCTTTCGTGCTGTGCTGCTGCTAACCGTGTTTGACTTATAATTAGAGCTGCTTGGTTTTCATGCTGGGAAAACTGGAAATCAGCCTTTTCTTTAATTTTAGAGCCAATAAGCCCCTTTTGTGAACTCCTCCCCCGACCACCACCATTTCCCCATTTTTGCCAACACCGTGTACTCCTGTGGACAGGGACTCTGGGCTCCCTCACCCCCTAGTCTAGCACTTTCTTGATGCTCAATAAACATCTGTTGGCTGAATGAATGAAAGGTACATACCAAGTGAGGACCGACGCAGGTGATCTGTACTGTAATACAACCTATTTATTTACTTCATAAAGGACCCCGAAGAAGCAATTTTTGCTTATGTTTTACTTCTTTGTGATTATTCTCCCTCTCCTCACTAGAACATAAGCTCCATCAGGGCAGGGATTTTCATCTGATCGCTAATTACCACCTCCGATCCTCACCACGGGAGCTTCTCGTGGCTCTATCTTGGTTACAGTGGTTCTTGCAAAGCTGGCTGCCAGTCTCCTGGCTTTACTTCTGCCCTTCCTGTGCTGAGCTCTCAGGTACTTCCAGCCTCTCCAGACACAAGTCCTCATTCCCTGCTGGGTGCTCCCAGCGTATTGGCTGATTGATCTTCATACCCACCTACAGCATCCATAGCTGACTGCATCATTTTTTTTTTTCCATCGAAGCCAGTTCTTCTTAGTAGTGGTTAAGAACACTGGCTTAGAAATTAGACCTGGGTTTAGGTCCTGGGTCCGCCTCTCACTACATCTACAGCTTTGGGCAAATCCCTAACCTCTTTGAGTCTCAGTTTCTTCACTCAGAACTGGAAGGTTTTTGACAGCAATTCCCTCAGAAACTTGCTGGGATGGTGAAGTAAGATACAGGTATGAAGTCCAGCATAGAGGGCGCATTTTCCTATTTCCATTGGGGGCCGCCACCATGATACCAGGTACCTAAGCTCAGTACACCGTGGGCACTTCTGCTCCAGGATGGCCTCAGTGCCCACACAGTCCTGTCTCCTCCCTGCATGACCTGCTTCGTGACCTCCATAACCCCTGCCACCAGCCTGCTGGAGACCCAGGTTCTCTGTGTCTAGTTGACTCAAATACCACCTTCTGCCTCCTTTCTCCTTTTCATCTAACCCTTGCATTCCATACATTTCTAGAGAGCACAGATCTTAGAGCAAAGACGAAAGGGCTGAGAAGGCACTCACTGTCATTTCAGGGGTTTTAAACACCTGTCTTCTAGAAAAGACTTAAGAGTTTGATTTGAAAGTTTGATATATATTAAGTAAAGCCACTGAGAGCAATTTCCAGTCCGCTAGCCTTCAAAGAAAAAATGAAAAACAAAAAATGAAAAGAAAAAAAGACTTTTTCTCCTTGCCCCTTAGTGAATCTTGGCTTCCAGCAAGCTCATAAATTATGCCTGAATAGGTGTGATGTAATGGAAACATATTCCCCGTGGTCACAAGTGCCCAGCACATAGTAAGTGCTTTAAAATGCCTCCATCTCCTATTTCTATCGTCGAGACCAGAACACAAAGTAGTTTTTTGTCAAAGTTCTATTTGCTGACTCTGCTATTGTTTCCCCCGGGGGAACTGCCTCTTTATGGATTAATAAAAGGTTAACAATAGCCTTAAAGTGTTAAAGAAAATGGCTGAATTTTAGTTCTGTGGTTGAAATTATTTGTGTTCTTGAAATCCTGTTGTTTCCTAGTGATCAACCAAATAAAATACCTCACTTCCTTTTGAAAGGCTGGGATAGGAAAGCCTGTTTTTGAAACCCAGAACGTTCACCTTTATAAATATTTCTGGACTTTATGGGCTTTTAGGATATTATCACCAGAGACCATTTCCGTTATGTGGAATTTTCACAGTGGTTGGCACAAATCACCATCTGGCTCCTGCCCCTGGCACTCCACTAAAGTGCCTGGTCAGGTCACTGGGGACCCCTCAACTGACAGATCTTGTGGATTCCTCTATCTATGGCAGGTGACCTGCTGACCACTTACTCCTGGGAATCCTTCATCCCCTAGTTTCCTTCGTCATCCATACATTGAGTGATAGCTGTGTGCCTGGCCTGAGTGAGCTGCTAGACTCATCGAGAGGGGTGAGCTACGGTTTTCACCCTTCACGAAATTGTAACTGGCAGAGGATGTGTAGACCAATGGGGGCTGTGGGATGCTTCCAGTGGTGTGCCAGAAGCCCGTTAAGTCCTTTTCGCGTTGTACGTAGGGAGGATGGTTTGGAGAGCATGGAGAGGACATACTGCATCTCTTGGAGAGAGACATAAAAGTTTAAAATTTCCCCCAAGCTTCTAACACACCGCCTAAGAAGCTGTATCCCAACTATAGTTGCAAATCACTTCAGGGTAGTGGGAGGTGTTACCTGCTGGGAAGGTTTAGCAAAAGTGACCTTGTGGAAGCAGAAAAGTGAGCACCACTGTTCAAGGAAACTGAAAACAAGCACAAAAAGAAAGGAATGATCATTTCTATCCTTGCGGTGCAGAATCAGGGAAACTGTCATATTGGAGGTGATGTCTGAATCTTGAAATACAGGCAGGGATTCACCAGACCCATTTGATTAGGGGAGCATTCAAGGTGGAGGGGACAACATGAGAAGGGCAGTGTGGCCATGATGAAAACCATGGGAGAAATAGCAGGAGATGGTAGAAGGCCTTTAAGACCATGCACAGGAGCTTAGACTTCCATCCAGGAAGCAATGGGGCAACACTGAAAAGTCGTAGGAACAGTAATGTGCTTCTTTTATCAGTGAGATCTCGTTGACAGCAAAATGGTTAGAGGATTTGCAGAGGGGGAAGACTTGCTGAGACAGAAGGCAGGGAGACCATTTAGAATACTCCTGAAGTATTCAAAGTAGTCAAAGATAGTCAAAGATAAATGTTGAGAGCCTGAACTCGAGCAGTGGCTGAGGGAATAGAGAAGACAGATGACAAAACAGTAGCTAAGGAGGTAGATTCCATATCACTTTGTGAAAGATTGGCTACGGGCAGTTCAGGGAAGGGAGCGGACTTGTATTTCATAGATACAATTGGTCATTGCAGTAGTTGGGGTAAGAAATGTTAGCTGCTGTAACAAAAAGCCCACAAACCTCAGCTTGGCAAAATAGTGATTTCTCGTGATACAGTCCAAGACTAATTGGCATGGGCCTCCTTGCACACAGTCATTCAGGAGCCCAGATTCTTTCAACTAATGACTCTGCCTGGGTTTTGGAGACCTTTTGGGCCCTCCGCTACATCCTCTGCATGAAAGGGAAGAGATTGGGCATGGAGGGTTATGCAGAAGGATTTTATGGGCTAAACCTGGAAATAATATACATCATTTTTGCCCCTTTAGTCATATGGCCCATTACATTGCCAAGGGGGCTGGGAAAGGTAGTTATGTGTCCAGGAGGAAAAAGAAGTGGGATATTTTCTCCATCTCAGTCACCAAATCCTGGTTAATTCTACCTTCCCAGTATCTCCCTACCTTTTCCTTGCTACTTCACCTCGAGTGCTACAGTCAGAATTCAAGTTCTCATGACCTCTCTCTCGCCTCCTAAATAGCAAAAATCTGTTCACTTTCTGCCTTCAGACTAATCCCTCTGCAGCCAACCATCAGTGATGCCAAGGAATCTTGCTAGAATAAGAACATGAGCATATCACTCTGCTCCTTAGTGGCTCTGTGTCCCTTTCTGAACTCCTTAGCAGGGCACAGAGGGCCCTTCCACACCAGGCCTCGTCTTCTGCCATTTTCCGTCGTGAACTCTTTGCTCCAGTCCTACCAAGTGTGTCTTTCCACACCCAGAGTCCTTGTGTTCACCCTTCTTTTGCCTTTGCGCACACTCTCCCTTCTGCCTGAATTCCCATCTCCTTGTCCACCAGAGGAACGCCTAAGCACCCTTCAAGATGCCCCCTCTGTGCGAATTTCCAGATGCCCTCCTCCTACGTGCCGCAAACTCGTTCTGCCCTCAGTTTGCCCGTAATATGTTAATTCTTGTATGGCTCAAGGTCCTGACAAGACAGGAAGATTGAAGAGACTTAGATGAAGGTTTGGACAGCTTTGAGAAAAGTAAACGAGGGACAGTGGCTTACTCTGGAGCTAGCACAGTGGAAGTG